CAAAGGCCATCACCTTCGTCTTCTGATAGTTAATAATCAATTTCTGTTCACTACAATAACTGGCAAACCTTTTTAATGCCCTTCTCAGGCCAATTGAGGTTCTAGAAAGAATAACAGCGTCGTCAGCATATAAAAGTATAGGAATAGGGGGCTGGGCCAATTTGGGTGGATGGAGATCTGTACCATTTAGATATCCAACAACATCGTTAACGTAGATGTTGAAGAGAGCTGGAGCCAACATACACCCCTGCCTAACTCCCTTGAGGGTGGGGATTTCATCTGTCAGGTGGCCCAACCCGGTACATCTAACCCTCAGAGAGGTATGTTCATGTAAAGCACGGATGAGAGCTAGAAGTCTCCTATCTATTGTGGAGGCTTCAAGTTTACTCCATAGTACAGGTCGAGAAATAGTCAAAGGCCGCTTTGAGATCGATAAAGGGGGGCACTCCATAGTACAGGTCGAGAAATAGAGTCAAAGGCTGCCTTGAGATCGATAAAGGCCGCATATAAAGATGGGGGGCCCTTGCAAACATATTTTTCTATAAGGTGCCTAAGTAGAAGACAGTGGTCAATAGTCGATCTGCCCTGCCTAAACCCTGCTTGTTCCTGAATTATTATATCATCCTGCTCCATCCAAAGTGTAAATTTTTCTTGAAGGTGTTTAGCATATAATTTACTTATAACACTTAGAAGACTGATAGGCCTATAGTTTGCAGGATCTTTTCGGTTACCTTTTTTATAGAAAGGAACAACCGCGGCCACCCCCCATTCTTTTGGGACCTTCCCTGTTGTATCAATATAGGTAAATAAGTGCCCACCAATTTATGTTTTCCTTCAAAAATTCAGGAGAGATCCCATCCAGGCCAGGGGCCTTGCCTCTTTTAAGTTTTGAATTTGTTGAGCTGGCATTGCTACAGTGGCCCTGGTTCTGCAAAAATGCCCCCCTTCAGTTCTTACTACACAAATTCTCTGGTTTGACATCAGTCCCTTCTTTTCTGCTGTTTTTTCCTCCACTGGAGGTAATGGAAGGTGGGGGCACCTACTTTGGGTGCCCATAGAATTGGATCCTGATCTTTTTGAAACTTGGAGGAATCTCGAATAGAGGCACCAGAAACTACACTGAAAATTTGGTGCTATTAGCATACCTAATAAGCTATTCGCATAATAGCTCATTAGCATATGCCATGCCCCCTGAAATCACAAGTTATGTCAGAAGGGTGTGTGTGTGCACAAATGGTGGTAGCACCCCTTCCCCCAAGCTCCTCCTCTCTAGAGTCGCGCCATGGCAGTGGCGCAATCTCTCCATTGTATTCTATGGTCCCATAGAATACAATGTGGAAACGTCGTGCTGCCACTGGGGCACAACTCCAGAGAGAAGGAGTTTAAACTTTAAACGGGGGCTTTTGAAGCCCCCCCCCCCCGCTTCTCCAGCCGGCCTGCCAAACTTTAAACCCCTTCTCTCTGGAGTCGCGCTGCAGAAGCGGCGCGATCTCTCCATTCTATTCTATGGGGCCATAGAATAGAATGGTGAGATCATGCTGCAGCTCGACTCCAGAGAGAAGGGGTTTAAAGTTTAAACCCTTTCTCTCTGGAGTTGTGCCGCAGTGGCGGTGCAATCTTTCCATTGTATTCTATGGGGCCATAGAATACAATGGAGAGATCACGCCACTGCTGCGGCGCGACTCTAGACTGAAGAAACGTGGGGGCGGGGCTTGCCGCCACCGGGGCTGCGGGAGCAGTGCGCCAGTGCACTCCGGCCCCAAACGACCCCTGCTTCTACCTCAAAAAACAGACCCCTGCATAGATTCCCCATTATAGCCTATGGGGATCACTAACTATAATGGTCCCCACAGGTTATAATGGACCCGAAGGCATTTAAAGGTGCTGCGGTCCCTTTAAATGTGTTTGTAAAGCTGCAGCTTCACCCAGAGTGGTATTTAAAAGGGACTGTTCTCTTTAAATGCCATTTAACTGGGCTATCCTGTTTTCCCGGATAATCCCAATTTATTTATTTATTTTTTTTGGGGGGGGGATTATCCGGGATTGGCTATGCTCGATAACCGAAGATACACCCCCCTCTGTATCCAGCTGAAATAGCTGATAAGTAGCATTAAGGTATTTCCTGGCTATTTTTTCAGCTCAGTTAGAGCCAAATGCACACCCCTAGCAGAAGCCATGCACTGGGTGTGAAGGACTGTCAATAAAGCTCAAGGTTATGTTTGCTACAGGTGGTAGCTGGTGGTGCTAACAAGGCCTTTCAAGTTTCCTCACTTTTGTTTTTTGGTGCATCTGCCAAGTAAGAATCTAACACCTATTAGGCAGCACCTTGCCCCCAGCAGCTGCAGTTGTTATTGTGGGGTGTCACCAACTACAGGCAGCAATTATCCACATACATCACCCTGAGCCTGGTGTAGAAAGTGCCTTGGAAGGAGGACTATTAATCTACTTTTTTGAGGATCAGTTTGTCTCCTACTTACAGTAAGAAGTCTTGCAAACAGCAGATTTTTAACCATTAAGTAACTCAAACAAACTCCATCCAAAAACAGACAAGTTGTTCTGGAATTAACATCACAATCTGATAAGATCCCGTTACTTACCTCCTTGTATGTCAAAAGAGCATACTTGGGGCTTAAAAGAATTCTCACCTTCCCAATTAAGGACAGACATTCTGTGAGGGTTTTATTGACTGTATCACTGAATAATTGTTGTTCATCTTCCTCTGCTATGGCAGCCCAGAAGGATTCGGGTGGTTCTTTTTCAGTTTGGTCTTCTTCTTCTTCTATTGCAGGCCGAGCATCTGTTGGTAAGGGAGCAGGTGGCTTCTTCAACACTTTCCCTTTAGATGCTTGCCAGGCAGCCAGCTGAGATCTGCAAGTATGTACGCCACGGTTATCAATATGTTCCTTTTTCAAGAGCAGAGATAACCATGCAACAGAGCCATTTTGGTGTAGTGGTTAAGAGCAGCAGACTCTAATCTGGAGAACTGGGTTCGATTCCCCACTTGAAACGGGCTGGGTAGCCTTAGGTAAGTCACAGCACTCTCAGTCTAAGAATAAGCATAACTTTTCGCCACTTACGTGGTGCCAAAAAAGAGCTATAGCTTTGGCAGCCAAACTACCCCCTGGGCATCTCCTGGCTATTCCACGCACAATGCCATACAATAATTTCAATTTACCATGCAACAGACATTGGCTACAGTCATGTTACCCAAGTGCTTACTAATACAGAAGTGGGAATATCTGATGGACCTCTGCATTCCTCCCACCTCACCTCTAAATAGTTGAAGAGCTATGTATAGTAGTGTACTTCTACACACTGATGTTAATGCAAACCACTGTTGGCCCAAATTACAGTTTGCAAACCCTTTTTAAATCTTGGTTGCCTGCTATGATTTAGTGCTACGGTTAGCAAAAAATAGTAGTGCAGGTGCAAGACTAATCCTGGTTAGCTCGAGAACTGAAAAGGTGAAGCAGTGCCCCCATAAGAACAGGGAGGAAGAAGACACAGGTCCATCGGATATTCTTGATCACCTAACCATGGTTCAGTCCAAGGATGAAGGTCCAGAAGCACCCTCTTGGATACATTCAAAGTTATGTCAAACATTTTTAAGGGCATTTGTGCCATTATATTTTCTATGCCTGGTGATTTCAGTCATTTTAACACCGGTCCTCCTCACTGAATCAAAGGGATCAGTGCCTTTGACACTCATTCCTAGAACTGCAGGCCCAATCTGGTCTTTCCCAAGCCTGCTGTCAAGCAATTCTTTTTATTAGCTTTTACATTTCTCACTGTCTGATTCAGAAGCTTAGTACCCCATATATAGAAAGGAGACGAAAATCTGCTCTTAGACGCTGAACAGAAGCCACCCTATAAGAATTCTGTCTGCTATCAAACATATGAACTTGGATTTTTGGGCACCAGAACCCGTTTGTATACTCAAGGATGTAGAAAAGCACATCTTACTTGGCTGCACGGAACAAAGTGGTGTCAAAATTGCCAATACCTTCTCATTTCTGCAGATTGGAGCAGAGCACTTTTCCTGTTGCCAACTGTTTTTGATGCCAACAGACGGTTAGTGCCATTACTTTCAGAAGCAGAGCCTGTCAAAGCTCCTGTCGATGGAACTGCCTTCTTTGGTCTTTGTTCAGAGTTAGCAGCATTACATGATACTGTTTTTAACATTGGTGTCCAATTCTTATTGGGCTTTTTTTGGATAGCCACTTGATTCACCAATGAAGTCCTGACTGATGGTTTCTCACGGTTCCAGATGGCTTTGGGCTGGGCAACCAATACCTTAACAGGAGGCTTGGTTTGACGTGATGGCATATGTATGGCTTTAGAAGCAATCCCTGCGTTAGTGACTCTGTCCTTTGTAGGTTCAGTCTTTGCCACTGGCTTAGCAGGAGCAACCAAAGAATTCTTTCTCTCCTCATTCTCTGATGATTTTCTGAAAGAGTTTATCTTAGATGACACTATCTTGCCACGATAGGAGCCAAGCACCCGCTTCTCTGGAAGGCTCACACTGGAATTCTGCTGCTTTTCTTTTGTGCTTTTCTTGAGTAAGAAGGTCTGACTGAATGACATGCGCGGGTTCTTTATTTCAGCAGGCTCAACTTTGGGAACAGCAGCCATTGTAATAGCGCCAGGGCCACAGTTTATACCTCTAGTACTTTGCTTCAGGACAGCAGATGAATTCAAGGATGATGGAGATGCAGAACTTTTTTCCAGAGCACAACCCACTTGGTTCCATGCGGGACTATTTGCATTTTCTTTGTTTTCCTGAAATGAGATTAACATACTAAGCGATACTACTTCCACACAGGTATTCCCAACACGAAGGAGCATACATACCCTTGCATTTTTTAAAACCACAATACAGAAGCAAGAACAAAGATGACAAATACCATTACTTTAACCTCACAGTCTGGCATCATAACACTGAGATACTGTTGCAGAAGTTTGATTAATAGGCTCTAACATTTTTATTTTTTGCCATCATCACAGATGACTTACAGCAACCCTGTAGGTTTTCAAGGCAAGAGATGTTCAGAGAGGTGGTTTGCCATTGGCTGGCTCTGAACAGTGACTGGTATTTCTTGGAAGTCTCCCATCCAAATGCTAGACAGGGCCGACCCTACTTAGCTTCCGAGATCTGTTGAGATTCAGATTGCCTGGGCTATTTACGTCAGGGTGTCTTCAACATAAGATAGTATTAATAGCTAGAAGCTGGCTTAAACTAGTCAGAGCATTAGATACACACACACAATTCCTTCTGTTATCGGAGGAAGGAAGTCTATGATTAAGCAGCCCTTCCATAGGCAATGGTGAAAGGTAGGAAATGCAAATACTTGAATGCTCCCATCACACCTATAACATAATGTAATACAACTGTAGGAGTTTAATTTGCATGACCATTATCAAATCCCTGGTATTTGTGTTTCCTCACGACTTAAGTCTATGAATCTGAGCATAATAAAGTAGCTATCCAAAGAAATAGGCCATATCTATCTTAAAATGTGCTTACATCATAAGCAACTTAATTATAGTATGACAAAAACATATACTAATAATTTTATTTAATTTCTACAAACATTGCTCTATCAATATATCTAACTGTAATCATGGTCCTAAAATGGTGATCAAAACTGTACAGATGGGGGACTATTCCCTGCAAACCTAAGGCCTGCAGTCAAAAGAACCTCATCAAAGGCTCCTAAGTAAGCTCAAAAATCATGGGATAGAAGGACAAGTCCTTTTATGGATCAAAAACTGGCTAATTCATAGAAAACAGAGAGTGAGTATAATTGGGCAATTTTCTCAGTGGATGGTGGTAAGCAGTGGGGTACCGCAGGGATCAGTACTTGGTCCACTGCTTTTTAACTTGTTCATTAATGATTTGGAGATGGGAGTAAGCAGTGAAGTGGCTAAATTTGCAGATGATACAAAGTTGTTCAGGGTGGTGAAAACCAGTGAGGATTGTGAGGCACTCCAAAGGGATCTGTCAAGGATGGGCGAGTGGGCGTCAACATGGCAAATGGGGTTCAATGTGGCCAAGTGCAAGGTGATGCACATTGGAGCCAAAAATCCCAAATATAGATACACATTGATGGGGTCTGAACTGGCAGAGACTGATCAAGAGAGAGATCTTGGAGTTGTAGTAGATAACTCACTGAAAATGTCGAGACAGTGTGTGACTGCAATAAAGAAGGCTATGCTGGGGATTATTAGGAAGGGTATTGAAAACAGATCAGCCAATATCATAATGCCTCTATATAAATCAATGGTGAGACCTCATTTGGAATACTGTGTGCAGTTCTGGTCACCACACCTTAAAAAGGATATTATAGCTTTGGGAAAAGCGCAGAAAAGGGCAACTCGAATGATAAAAGGGTTGGAACACTTTCCCTATGAGGAAAGGTTAAGGCGCTTAGAGCTCTTTAGCTTGGAGAAAGGACGACTGAGGGGTGACATGATTGAGGTTTATAAGATTATGCATGGGATAGAGCAGGTAGAGAGAGGTACTTTTCTTCCTTTCTCACAATACAAGAACTTGTGGGCACTCCATGAAACTGCAGAGCGGTCGGGTTAGAACGGATAAAAGGAAGTACTTCTTCACCCAAAGAGTGATTAACACTTGGAATTCACTGCCACAGGAAGTGGTGGCGGCTACAAGCATGGACAGCTTCAAAAGGGAATTAGATAAGCATATGGAGCAGAGGTCCATCAGTGGCTATTAGCCACAAGGTATGGATAGGGACTCTGGAGCAAGTGATGCTCTGTCTTCTTGGTGCTTGATGGGGGGTCAACAGTGGGAGGGCGTCTGATGTCCTGGCCCCACTGGTGGACCTCCTGATGGCACCTGGTATTTCTGGCCACTGTGTGATACAGAGTGTTGGACTGGATGGGCCTTTGGCCTGATCCAACATTGGCGTCTCTTATGTTCTTATGTTAACACGCTGCTCCCACCCATTCCTTCAGATTCATCTTGTGCACTCAGGCAAGCAAGGACTTCTCACACATGCAGGCAAAGGAGCACCAACAGAGAGGCTGCAAGGGAAGGAATGGATGACAGAAGCCATACCTACCTTGCCTTTAGCTTCATGGAAGACTTTAAGAAGCACAAGCATGTTCTCCAGGTTGCAATTCAACAATCTGAATTAACAACCCATAGGATCCTTCCACCTCATTCACATGGGTGAATTCAAGCTCATTCTCTTTTATAACAGAGATCCCTGACTCGTTTTTTGATTGCAAAGTACTTGTACTACATCTGAACTTGAAATTGAAGCAAATAAACACCAAATAATATGTTTGATATTTACCATGTCTTGCTTTGTCAGTGATGTTTTGTCTGGCGGATTCACTTCAACTGACATTCCTACAAGTGTTTAAGGGAAAAAAGAATGTAACTGTAATTGTAATAGTGAGCTCTGACTTGTGACAGCTTATGCTGGGATAATCTTTCTTCTAAGCCTATAGCATCTGGAAAATGTTGGATGACTTAATTACTAAAGCAGTCCAATCACACTTGGAGGTTTTTGTTTTTTTAATGGTGGCAGCGAGGTCCCAGAAAGACCCATTTCCCCTAGGGAAAACCAAGTGTATTCACATTTTCTAGCAACACCCCCACCACATCTCTCAAACTTGATAAGAATATATTGCCCTGTCCTTTTACCAATATCATTTTCAATTTACTTCCTGCTTTTGTTGAATTCAAAATAGTTCAAGGAGAACTGCAGCAAGAGGTTACGGATTCAGCGTAGCTACTAATATGATTCCACAGGGGTGGCCACTGTGTTAGCTTGCCACAGCAAAAATAACCAGGAGCCAAGTAGCACCTCAAAGACTAACAAAAATTATCCCAGCATAAGCTATCACAAGTCAGAGCTCACTTCATCACTAGCAGAGGTGTGATTTGTGAAAGCTTTTTGGAGGACTACATTTTTATAGTCTAAAGTGCCACGGGACTCCAGTTCAAAATATGGTTTCTATAGAAATAAAAGCTTGTGTGGACAAAACTAGCCATTGACACACATGAAGCCACCTTATAAAGAACTGATCAACTGTCCACAGTACTGTCTACAGTGGAGTAGTTTAAACATTTTTTCTTTTAAAAAAGCATCCTGCAAAGGATGTTTAAGTTACTCAAAAGTTAATTAGGAGAAGCATGGTATTAGAAAAACTTAATATCCAGAACAGCTCAACAACAGCTACAAGGAAAAAATAATACCACTTTCCTGGCTTCTCAGAAAGAGTTATTTATGTATTAAACTTCTAGGACACCCTCAGGGCTCAGAACCGCTTACAACAGAGATATAACAGAGTTGAGGATGTAGCCAACTGGAACACTCAACAAATAGGGTTGCCAACCTCCAGGTAGTACCTGGAGATCTCCCGGCAATCAAGATCAGTTCCCTCGGAGAGAAATGGCTGTTTGGGGAGTGGACTCTATGGCATTACACCACGCTGAGGACCCCCTCCCCAAGCTCCACCCCCAAAATCTCCAGGTCTTTCTGAACCCAGAAACTGACACCCCTACACCAAAAGATAATAGTAAAATTAGTATGTTCATCCCTAATTATTCCCGCTGCTCCTCCAAGCACGCCTGCACCCAAAACCAGCTTGCAGCTTTCTAATAACCGGCGACGCCATAATTCCCTCCCCAAACTGTATACAAATTAAGAAAACCTGGGATTGATTGCGGACGGGCAGACGGCATCAAGGACTCTGCACGCTCCCTTCCTGAACTATAGCAAGAACCAACGCACCACAGCTGCCGTTCTCCCGAATAAAAACCGACACCCACCGGTGACTCCAGTCGATTTGAATTGAATCACGCGCGGGGAAACCACGCCGCGAAAGCGCCCTCACCTATTGGCCTGGGCGTGGCCTCAGTGCTTGAATCAACCAATTAGAACAAGCGAGAAACGTGATAGGTTGGAGGAGGGAAGGCAAACGCTCCGCGGCTCCCTAGAAAGGGGGAGGAGCCAAGGGAAGGCCGACTTCAAAATGGTTTTCCGAAGCGGGGTTGATCTTCGGTTGTGCGGGGGTCTTAGTGCTAGTTGGACACAGAAGTGAACGTGTTCCAGGGCTTTGACAACCCACGCCCCGCTTGCAAAAACAAAGCTAGCCGTTTAGCCGTTAAGGCTTCAGTTTTTGGCACACTTATTCGGGAATTCATTGGATTGACTTCTGAATAGACCTATCACTGCGTTGTCAGTCCTGCTTCGTTTCATTTTGTTCTGCAAATGTTTCCTAGGCTATGATGCCCCTGTATTTATCTCGTTTTTAATTTTGTCACAAGGTGGTGAAAATGCCGTCAAGTCGCCGCCCGCTTATGGCGGGTGCCCTGTAGGGTTTTCAAGGCAAAATACGTTCCGCGGTGGTTTGCAATCTGCATAGCAACTCTGGTATTCCTTGGTGATGTCCCCTCGAAATACTAACCGAGCCGACCCTTCTTAGCTTCCAGATCTGATGAGATCGGGCTAGCCTAAGCCATCTAGGTCAGGGCTGTTACACATTATTGCTTCTTTAATGAACCCTTAGATATGTGAAATTTATGTGGCCTTTCCGCTTTAAAAGTTCTCAATGTGCCGTGCATAAAAATCAAATTTAACAACAGAACGCCAGTCTCAGAGCAGAGAAGCGCGGTCAAGTGAGGGCGCCAGCAAGCAATGACTCCGCCACGATAGTTGCTCCTTTTCAGACTTATTAAGAGTCAACACTCAACGGCGGCCGTTTGAGGGCAGCAGCAAAGAGAAGTTGATGTAAAATAAAAATTAAAAATCCACGGGCAGGATCGATGTCTGACTGCCTTTCTAAGCTGTCAACTGGGCTCCCAGGAGGGAGTTCGTCTCCTGCTTCGCCTTCTAAGTTGCCCTTCTAGTTATACCTAAATAAAATCAGAGGCTCTGTTTGTACAGAGGAGACATTCCCTTATTGCTCCCTATGAGGGGCAGTACGATTTTTTTCAAAAGCTTTGATCAGAACGAGAAAGAACATTATTTTGTGGTAGTAGAAAAGAGCAAGAGTCCAGTGGCACCTTAAAGACTAACAAAGTGTGTAGCAGGGGATGAGCTTTGGTGAGTCACTGCTCACTTCTTCATCTGCTGTATCTGAAGGAAGGGAGCAGAAAGCTCACCCCCTGCCACATATTGTGTTAGTCTCTTAAGGCGCTACTGGACTCTTGCTCTTTTCTACTGTTAGAGACAAACACGACGATCCATCTTGATCTATTATTTTGTGGTGACATTCTTCTGTTCCGGTTGCCCCACACTCCCTTATTTAATTTGATAAATGCTATTGGTTTGTTTGTGTGTGTGTGTGTGTGGATCACAACAAACTATGACAGGTCCTCAAAGAGATGGGCGTACCAGACCACCTCACATGTCTCTTGAGAAACCTGTATAAGGGCCAAGAAGCGACAGTTAGAAATGGATATGGAACAACTGATTGGTTTAGCATAGGAAAAGGAGTACAAGGATGTATATTGTCACCTTGCTTATTTAATATATATGCAGAGTACATCATGCAAAATGCTGGCCTGGATGAATCACAAGCGGGAATTAAGATTGCTGGGGAAAAGATCAACAACCTCAGATATGCAGACAATACCACTCTAATGGCAGAAAGTGAAGAGGACCTAAAGAGCCTCTTGCTCATAATAAAAGAGGAGAGCGCAAAAGTGGGCTTGAAGCTCAACATCAGAAAAACTAAGATCATGGCATCCGGCCCCATCACTCCTTGGCAAATAGAAGGGGAAGTTGTGGAAGTAGTGACAGACTTCACATTCCTGGGATCCCAGATCACCGCAGACTGTGACAGCAGCCATGAAATTAAAAGACGCCTGCTCCTTTGGAGGAAAGCAATGCCGAACCTAAACAGCATGATAAAAAGCAGAGACATCACCCTGCCAACAAAAGTCCGCATGGTCAAAGCAATGGTATTCTCAGTAGTCATGTATGGCTGCGAGAGAGAGTTGGACTATAAGGAAGGCCGAACGCCGAAGAATAGATTCTTTTGAACTATGGTGCTGGAGAAGACTCTTGAGAGTCCCTTGGACTGCAAGAAGATCAACTCAGTCAATCCTAAAAGAAATCAACCCTGACTGTTCCCTGGAAGGCCAGATAATGAAACTGAAGCTCAAATACTTTAGCCACCCAATGAGAAGGGAGCACTCACTGGAGAAGACCCTGATGCTGGGAAAGATTGAAGGTCAAAGAAGACGGGGACGGCAAAGGATGAGATGGTTGGACAGTGTCATAGATGCAACCAACAAGAAGTTGAGCAAACTTCAGAGGACTGCGGGAAGGCCTGGCGTGATCTGGTCCATGGGGTCACGAAGAGTCGGATTCGACTGTGCCACTGAACAACAAATTGGTTTCCCAGATCTTTAGAGGCTGTTCCCCCACACACACATACAGTTTACAGCGCAACATTACACACAGATACACCGTTGAACTAGAAGAGTGTAATTCTTTCGCACTGCACTGCTCAGCGTCGTTAAACGAGCGGTTTATGTTCATTGCAATCTATTCTGACAGCAGGTCTACTCAGGAGTAAGCCCCGTTTTCTTCAACGAGGCTTACTCCCAGGAAAAGTGTTTTTTTAGGACTGCAGCCTTTGCGGCTTTTATGATCCTTGATGAAGCTTCCGGGGAAGCGAAGCGGGCGGCCAAGACGGGAAACGGAGCACAGGGGCTTTTGCCCTGCAAGATGGCGGCGCTTGACGTCATCCTGGCTGCCGGAGAGGCTGACTGGATTTTCAAAACAGGGAGGTGTCGGAAGCGGCTTCTTCTCGGTGGCTTGCGGAGGGGAGGAAGGCTGGGGCCGGCGCCATGGATCGCTTCTCCTGGACCAGCGGCCTCCTGGAGATCCACGAGAACCTCGTCACGCAGCAGCGCGGGGTCCGCCTCTACGACGGGGAGGAGAAGGTCAGGACGGCCGGTGGGAGCTGATGGGGGGCAGCTGTGGGCTAGTGGCTGGCAGGCAGGCAGGCAGGCAGGCACGGCGGCGGCCTCGGGGCCCGGCGGCTCCTCCTCCGTGCAAAAGGAGACTGACGAGCCTTAGCGTCGCCTGTGAGGAAAACCTGATCTCGACCAAGTATGTTCTTTGCAGAGTTTTCCTCACTGGACTTGGCGCTCTAGCAGGGGACGCGTGTCTTTTGGTTTTGGGTATAACGAACCTAGCAGTTCGAAAGCAAGAAATTGCAAGTAGATAAATAGGGACCACTTCGGTGGGAAGGTGACAGCGTTCCGTGCGCCTTGGTGTTTAGTCATGCCGGCCACATGACCACGGAAACGTCTTCGGACAGCGCTGGCTCTTCGGCTTTGAAACGGAGATGAGCACCGCAACCCTAGAGTCGGAGTCGACTGGCTTTCTAGCAAGGGAACCTTTACCTTTACCTATAAGGAAGCGAAGGGGTGGTTGTGTGTTTCGCAACTCTTCCTGTTCGGTGAATTCTTGCAGCTTTCCCCCTTGAAGGATAAGAGGATTGGGTGTGGGTATGATTTTTTATTTTTACTTTTTTCTTCTCGCCTTTGCATCTTGGTGGTGGCAGCTCTTATCCATTCTTCGCTTTGGCGTCGGTACCGTTGAGTTCAGTGAGGCTTTCTCCGAAGTCAGGGTGATAGTCTTAACAACTACGGCCAGGAAGTCCCAGTTTGGAATGTCACTTCTGCCTCAAACAGACCATAATCTCTCCTCTTAAGTTCCCCAGTTGCACCATGTTCCTGGGTGAATATTCTTACCCGGGGGTCATTTAGTAGAAAAAGAGGTGAAGGAGCTCATTAGCATAACTCATTTGCATATGTACACACCCTGACATCACCGGAAGTGTGTCAGAAGGCAACACCCACTGCTCAGGCTCCACTGGACTGTTTTGGATTGCCAGCTATTGGGGGGGACGGGGGACGTCGCAGAGGAGGGAGAGCTTGTACCTGAATAAAACTTGGTCTTAAAGGGAAAACAGAGAAAGTACCAGAGATTGAAGATTGGATACAAAAAGTTCTGTTCATGGCTGAAATGGACAAAATTACAAAAAAATTGAACGGCAAAGAAGATGAGGTATTTTTTGAAGAATGGAATGACTTTAAAACTTATCTGGAGAAGAACTGGGATGTGAAACAAAATTTAATGTGTTTAGATCAATATTAGGTTAAATGATGTTATCCTAAATCTATAATGATAAGAAAAATGATATAATTGATGATATATAGTAATGTGGAGGGTAAGGGGGAAACATTGCGGGAAGCCACAGGAGGGAGGAGAGGAAATGGGTATGGGTGAACAATGGAAAATTGGAAATGGTTAAATGTAAAACTTGTATGGAAAATAATAAAATTTGTTTACCAAAAACAAACAAACTTGGTCTTAAAGGTGCCACTGGACTGTTTTGGGCCGGGGGGCTCTGCAACTTACCTGGCTGCTTCTTGCTCTGACTGAGGGCTGCTGGAAGCAGGGGGTGGGGCTTGTTGCATGTGCCCACCAGTGTTCCCTCTAAGCTGAGTTAGTGTGAGCTAGCTCACAGTTTTGTAGCCTCCGGCTCACACATTTTTTGTCTTAGCTCAGGGAGGATTGCCCCAGAACAAACTAATTTATACAGCAGCCAAATTGCTCCCTCACAACATTCATGCCAGTAGCTCACAAAGTAGAATTTTTGCTCACAAGACTCTACCGCTTAGAGGGAACATTGGTGCCCACCCCCTGGGCTCTTTACTGCTGGAGCTCCACTCCTGTGCGCTCCTGCAGGAAATGACCCCTGTTCTTACCTTGCAGGCTTGCTCTTAGCAGTACAAGATAATGCACGTGAAGCTCTTTATAGACCCTAAAGATCTATACAAATTCTATAGTGTTGTTGCTGGTTCTCAGTTTAATACCCTTTTTATAAAGCAGCAGGTTAATGAAAGATGCTGTACCTGTACACAACTAAGATGACAAGGACAAGGTTGAAGACTTATTCATAATATGTTTTCTCTGTGTATGAAGTATTGAGTTGATGTAGTGTAATGGTTAGCACAGGGGTGTCAAACATACAGCCTGTGGGCCAGAACCAGCCCGTCCAGGGCTCTTATCCAGCCCACAAGCAACTGATTACCTTTGTTGCCAGATGACAAAGGGTGTGCCTAACATCCCTGTATAGTGTCCCAGTGCCAATGCTAACAGGTGGTGGAAGTGGGGGGGGGGCTTCAGGGAGATATTGTGAGGAAATACTGTAAGAGTGTTACTGTTTTAAGCATGTTTGTATTTTGAGTAAAGAATAATATTGTTAATTGGGTTTGTCTGGGTCCTTTATAAAGTTTATATCTCCGGTACCTGGCGTAACATTTCATGGCACACATGGGCCAGCTTGACAAATGGACATTTGTGTCAGATCTGGCCCTTGTAATAAATGAGTTTGACACCTCTGGGTTTAGCATGTTGCACTAGGACCTCCAGCAGCCGGTAGTGCTAGCTTTGGGTTCAGTTCCTGCTGGGATTTACTTGCCCAGTTGAATCAATGTGGATTTAAATGGATCCTCCTGAATGCATATTGTTATGATGAAACAACACAAAACTGCCATCACACTACAGCTCATAAAAGGTAAAGGTAAAGGTTCCCTTGCTCGAAAGCCAGTCGAATCTGACTCTAGGGTTGCGGTGCTCATCTCCGTTTCAAAGCCGAAGAGCCAGCGCTGTCCGAAGACGTTTCCGTGGTCATGTGGCCGGCATGACTAAACACCAAGGCACACGGAACGCTGTTACCTTCCCACCGAAGTGGTACCTATTTATCTACTTGCAATTTTTTGCTTTCGAACTGCTAGGTTGGCAGGAGCTGGAACTAGAGACGGGAGCTCACTCCGTCATGCGGCATACTCGGGTCTCGAATTGCTGAACTACCGACCTTCCACAGCCTGCAGTTCAGCGTCTTAACCACTTGAGTCACCGCAGCTCATACCCGTGTACATAAAAAGCATGGATTTGGGATGCTGCCATTGTGTAAAAAAACACATTAGAAAACATGGATCTCCATGGGATGACATAATTTTTAAAACAGAGTCCCCTAAAATTCCCCATCAAATCTCACATTAAAAGCCATGTCTATAGACTGAACCACAACAGCAGTAGAACACCACTGCTCATGACACTGGCAGTGGTGGAAAGTGCCATCAAGTCACCGCTGACTTCTCTGTAGGGATCTCAAAGCAAGAGATGTTTAGAGATGGTTCACTATTGCCTGCCTCTGCGCTGCAACCCTGGACTTCCTTGGTGGTCTCCCATCCAAGTACTAGCCAGGGCCGACCCTGCTTAGCTTCTGAGATCTGACGAGATTGGACTAGCCTGGGCGAGCCTCGTGCAAAAACATGATTCCTTCCTTGTGATTTTTACACGGAGTCCCCCTAATTTCATCATCGGCCAGCAGATCAAAGTCATGTCTACAAACTGTACCACCACAAAGATCCAGCCCTTCATGATTTTGAAGTTGGGTGCTTACTTAGACCCTTTTAGCAATATGAATAAATGAATTCTGAGGGCCACAAACATAGCAATAAAATGGAATAAGATTGCACCCTGACTCTGAAGCCCTTGGCCTAAAAACAAAGTTTTGGACTGAGATATAATCTGTTTCCCCTTATAGGACAGAGCTCCTGAGTTTCAGGACGTTGGTGTTCCAGTTTCTTACTTTGACAATTTCCTCTTCTCAGAAGTTGGACCGCACACATTCTGACTTTGAGACGAGCAATAAGTACACCAATAGTCTTACAGCACGGTCTGTCTACCTGCTATAGAATATATATAGTGTCCCCAAGTACAACAAGAGTCCAGTATCCAATGCATATATCCAATGCATATATCCTCATAATGTGTGCTTAGGTTTGACTGAGTACATTGAACCCATGAAGTTGCCCTATACTGGACCATTCTTCCATCAAAATCAGTATTTTCTACCCAGACAGGCAGAAGCTCTCCAGGGTCTCAGGTTGAGGTCTTTCACAGCACCAATAACGTCATCCTTATTGGAGATGCCAGGGGCTGAATCTTGAACTTCTATTGGGTTTCTTAAATAACCGATCTACAATTGTGCTTCATCCTTCCTGTAATTTACAATGTATGGATGATTTTGGCTGTGGATTTTGTTGTTTTGTGAACTTGGCTGCCTGAATACAGGACATTTGCTTAGCATTTCCCTAAAGCTGCTAATCTTAGAAGTATGCAACAACAACAAAATCTGCAGAAATAATGCATTACATATGTGAACTGAATATCTTAAATATGCCCGTTTTCACTCTAGGTGAAGTTTGATGCAGGAGTATTGCTACTGAGTACACACAGATTGATATGGAGAGATCAGAAAAATCATGTAAGTATCACATTTCTCTGATATATTTGCAGTGTCCACAGAAGCTATAGAAATGCAGTGTATGATGGAGCAATAGTTAATTTCTCCATCACTGTATGAGCAATAGAAATTTAGTAAAATGTCATTGACCTCTGTGCAAATTGTGAAAGCAGGAATACTGGGCCACCCACAGTATTATCTCCTTTCTAAGAGCGTCCCCTAGGTATGCATAAAAGTATTTTATATTTGTTAATTGTCCAAAAGAAAAAATATACCCACTCCCCCCAAAAACTGACCTGAAAAGGAAGGACTAAATATGGTCCAGAGTGGGAGGAATGTTGATGAGTAACAGTTAAAAAAAAAAAGCACAGACAATCTTGAAGGAAGTGATTTTGAGGGGAGGGTTGGGATTTTCAAATTGTCCCCACTCCTGCCGTGATTCACTGTAGGCTCCAACCCCATCATTTTATCTAATAGTAAAGAGGCTGGCCCCAGTTATGATAACAGGAGCAGGAGAACATAGCAAGAGGAGCTCTCAAATATGCAGAAAAATAGTAAATTAACCAAGAGGGGGGGAAAGTCCTCAAACTGACCTGATGTGCATTAAATGTGATCCAGAAAGGATGGAATATTGAGAGAAATTGAGTGTTGGTTAAAAGAAAACAAGGGAGGGGAAATCAACTTCAGCTCCTGAGTTTGAGAATCTTGGAAGTAGGGATGGGCATGAACCCAAAAAGGGCAGTTCAGTTCGGGGTGACCCACGAACTGAACCGACCCAAACGGACCCCACCTAAACCAGTCCAGCAAAATCAGTTCCCCCTTTCTCCCAGCCGCAGCTTGCCATGGCCAGGAGAAAGGGAGCAGGAACCACCCTGCAAGGGACTTCCCTTCCACCTTTCTCCTGGCTGCAGCTCACTGGAGCCAGGAGAGAGGGAGCGGGGACAGCCCAGGAAGGGGCTTCGTTTAACCTTTTGGTTTTGCTCCCTCTGTTTGAAGCGGCAAGGAGCAAAACCGAAGGGTTAAATAGCTGCCCCCGAACAGCTGAACTGGCCAAAAGTCTGGTAAATGTTCGGGGAATACACCTTCCCCGAACATTGGTTCCCGGGTTCCAAACCGGTCCAAATTTGCACACCCCCCCCCCAAACAAACAAATTTGGCTCAAATTTTGGCTTATGAGCTGGTTTGTGGCCTTCCTACTTGGAAGACAAAATCTTGTGGAGGAGGTCCTAATTATTACTGTTTCATGCCTCTGTTCTCCCCCCCTCCCTTCTTTTCTTTGGACACACCAACCTCCCTCCCCACACACATACTTGAAGGTATGTTTCTTTTTCTCAAGTTCTTGGTCTCTTTCATTTTCTTCAGTTTCTGATCTCGGCCTCTACTTCTCCCCCTTTCTTTTTGTGTTCCTTTCCCTCCTTGTGTTATCTTTCTGGACCAAAAGCCTGTGGGCAGGGTTATAATCTTTTTATGAAATATTTTTGGCTAATGCCTAGCTGGTTAGGTGCACTACTTTTTTAAAGAGCCTGAGAAGTAGAATTCTATATTACACACTTTTGTTTGCAATAACCTAGGAGACTGTGAATTCCCAATAATAGTTTTTCATATATTTTCACTGTCTGTTTTTAGTTTGGTCCATCTTGATCATTATATATGGAAGTGTATTTACAGGATCATGTACTCCAATAGAAAAGTAGAAATATCTCATATATATGTAGCCCCATTCTGTGAAACTTTTGATCTGCATTCTGGGCCCAAATTTGGAGTTGGATATGGTGATTCAGCCAGTTCAGCCAGAGACATTGACCTCTCCTAGAGGAGACAGACTGCCTTAGTCAAAATGTGAGACAGATCAAAGTACTATAAGATACAGTAAGCTTAAGCAGCCATCAGTATGCATATAAGCATATTCCTCCTCAAGCATCCCTGAAATATATGTGTGGTGCCAAAGTGTGCATTTTAGTACTCAGCGGTGCATTCTTTGGCCATTGCCTCAAATGTGGGGTTAATTTGGAAGCTTGGCCAGAATCACCAAGATGTGAGGTGGAGTGGTCATAGAATCATAGAGTTGGAAGGGGCCATATAGACCATCTAGTCCAACCCCCTGCCCAGTGCAGGACCAGTGCCACCCCCTGCCCGGTGCAGGTTCCCTCAGTCAGTGGTACTTTGCAGATGCTCCATCAGTGTGAAGCCGAAGCCTAGGAGTTCCAGATACCCACTGCTTTTTCCAGTTCTGTGGCTACTGCCCCTGGAATTTGGTAATGGGCAAAGGTGGGTCACATCCAGTAATAAGGAAGAAATTGCTGATTCTTCTGTGCTGGCCTTGACTTGTATCGTTGGGTACTAGCTCTGATAGTGAATGTTGAACCAAGTGCCAGGTGAAGGCTATGTATACAAGCCCGCCCAAACCATAAACCAAATTAAGCCATGATTGTGGCAGAACTGTGAATAACACCTCTCCCTAAATTAAATTGCAGACAGACGTTAATCAGCTGAGCTTATTTTTCCAACTCCTGTTATCTCTGGTGGACAGTGCTGGTGTTCTGGAGTAGCAGCATGTATAAATTACTCTAAATGCTCCCTGTTCCGTGAAAACCAAACTAAAATGGATAAACATCAGCTGTAGTTATGATTACTGTTTCCCTTATCTTTCTAGTGCAGCACGGTTCTTTGTTTCCCAGGGTGTCAAAAGACACATAAATCTTCTCCTAATTTGGCATCCGGTGCTTGCCAAATCAGTCCCTCACAGTCGAGTCTGGGGAAACAAATGCAAAACATGCTTTGATCTCTGGTTACATTTTATTGTGTCCCTTTAGAGTGTGTACATCCCATGAGAACCTTTACTGTGTCAGAGTAGCCTTTGGAATTGTGAGCGAAGCTGCAGCTGGAGCCAGGACAGCCTGGTTCAAATCCCACTTTCATCGTGGAGTTTTCCAGGAGACAGTCTGCCCTCTGTAATGCTCAGATTTCTTGAATCATGACAGGAATAAATCGGTCTCTCAAGATAATAAATGTAAAAAATAAAACAGACGTCATAGTCCTCCTAAAACTAGGGGATGGCACGTGGCTCGGTGGTAGAGCATCAACTTTGCAGGCAGTGGGTCCCAGGTTCAGTTCCTGGCGTCTCCAATCAAAAGGATCAAGTAGGAGGTGATGCGAAAGACCCCTAAATGAGACCCTGGGGAGCCGCTGCTGACAGTGTTGACCTTGATTTAGTAAAAGATCGCTGCATTTGTAAAACCTCCATAAGTGCGCTGATCCTATTACTATGTGTGCATCCAGAGCTCTTTTTGTAGCAGGTACTCATTTGCATATTAAGCGACACACCCCTAATGTAGCCAATCCTCCAAGAGCTTACAGTAGCTCCTGTAAGAAGAGCTCTGTAAGCTCTTGGAGGATTGGCTACATTAGGGGGTGAGGCCTAATATGCAAAGGAGTACCTACAAAAAGAGCCCTGTGTGCAATGCCAACAGGATTCTTGCTGGTTCATGGCAAACCTGTCTTCTCTTACCTTGCTTGTAACAGTTTGTACAGACTGACAGAGACACTTGCCTTGCCGTCTGGTTGGCTCTGTTTCTGTTGTAAGACTCCTGCGGTTCTGGAGATCTGACTGTATCGCTTCAGAGAGTTGCTCCATGTCACCCGAGCCATCTCAGCTGCTACTGACCTCTCCAAAGCTTGGGTGCACGAGCACAATCCAGCCTATGAAAATAATGTAGAGCTAGAGCTGCGGTGGCTCAAGTGGTTAAGACGCTGAACTGCAGGCTGTGGAAGGTCGGTAGTTCAGCAGTTCGAGACCCGAGTGTGCCGCATGACGGAGTGAGCTTCCGTCTCTGGTCCCAGCTCCTGCCAACCTAGCAGTTCGAAAGCAAGAAATTGCAAGTAGATAAATAGGTACCACTTCGGTGGGAAGGTAACAGCGTTCCGTGCGCCTTGGTGTTTAGTCATGCCGGCCACATGACCGTATTCGGACAGCGCTGGCTCTTCGGCTTTGAAACGGAGATGAGCACCGCAACCCTAGAGTCGGATTCGACTGGCTTTTGAGCAAGGGAAACCTTTACCTTTACTTTTTAGAGCTGTGCCAGATGTTTGGGGGCAAATATTTCTTTACATGAGCATATCCTTTTCATACTTGATCTACTGCTGTTTGTGTTGGGATATGTGATTGGCTGTTACTTCAGCTCCACTTTCAAATAAGTCTTGTTCAACCTGGGAGTAATTGTCATGCCACCAGTCAGATATGGGAATGCACTGACCTCTCTGAGAGCAAATGAATCTAATTTAGGGAATATATAAGTAACAGAATTGTGCTATGATAGCAATAACATATGAAATACTGCGTGGTAGAATTGCTTGCAAAATGTTATTAATCTTTATTGGGGAGCAGACTGTAACCATATAATAGATAAGCAAAAAATACATAATTGAAGTGGGTCTATCTATTGATATTCTGACTTTTCTCCTCAATCTTGGGGCATCATAGGCAGTTTTCCCATCCTCTGTTTTATTCTCGCAACAGTCCTGTGAGGTAGATTAGGCTGAAAGTCAGTGGTTGGCCAGTGTCACCAGTGGCCTTCATGGCTGAGAGGGATTTGAACCCGTGATCTCCCAGATCCTCATCCAGTACTCAGGCTGCTAAATCACACTACCTGCATAACCAAACAAGGCATAACAAGGTAAAGGTAAAGGTTTCCCTTGCTCGAAAGCTAGTGGAATCCGACTCTAGGGGGTAGTGTTCATCTCCATTTCCAAGCTGAAGAGCCAGCACTGTCCGAAGACGTTTTCGTGGTCATGTGGCCAGCATGACTGAGCACCGAGGTGCATGGAATGCTGTTAACTTCCCACTGAAGCGGTACCTATTTATCTACTTGCAATTTCTTGCTTTCAAACTGCTAGGTTGGCAGGAGCTGGGGCCAGAGTTGGGAGCTCACTCTGTCATGCGGCACTAGGGTCTTGAACTGCCGAACTACAGACCTTCTGGTCTGCAGCTCAGCGTCTTAACCTCTAAGCCACCGTGGCCCAAACAAGGCATACAGGCCACTAATTGCAAAAATAATGCTTGCATTTTATTGACCACTGAAGTACATATATATATTTGACCAAATTTGTTTCATTCTCTGTTTCTTGTTACAGGAATGTTGTATGGCTATTCCACTTTCTCAAATTATCTTCATTGAGGAACAGGCAGCTGGAATAGGAAAAAGGTAATTTGTCCAAGCCAAACTTTTATAAACTTACATCAGTTGTTTTTAGAAACAGTGTTTCTAATTTCAAAGTCCATCTTTTCTCCCTTCTTCTTTCCAAAATAGTGCCAAAATTGTGGTCCATCTTCATCCGGCATCTTCCAACAAGGATCCTGGCCCTTTGCAGTCTAGCAAATACTCTTATATCAAACTTTCATTCAAAGAACATGGTCAGATAGAGGTATGCATGTATTTTAGTCTGTTGAGCGAGATGATGTTGTAGTGGGTGTTCTTAATTTGCCTATGAATTAATCTTGAGAATCCCCCAATGTACTTTGTTTGGTAAATCAATTTGTGTCCTTCTAATATGCAGTTCTATAGGCGGCTATCAGAAGAGATGACGCAGCGGAGATGGGAGACCATGCCTGCTTCTCAGACCATTCAGATTAACAAAGGTCCACAGGTATGGATGCCTTTTTGTTCATTAAAGGTCCACGGGCATTTGTGCCTTTTTGCCCATTACTGCCTTCCTGAGTAAGGCAAAACGTCAGCGTGTGGGGCATCAAGGAGGAGACGTCACAGACTTGATTTACTACGTGATTCACTGACACACACACTCCCCTCCACCACCACCCCCAATTTCACTGCCGTGTCTCGGTTCCGGGCTGAGCCTCTTCCCCCTGTTGGGGCCAACGATGGACAGCTTCAAAAAGCCAAGCTTTGGGCAGCCCTGCGTGCAGCCTCTTAGCACAGATTCCCAGAGAAGGAGGGATTTGCCAACTCACGCTTTTATTCGGTCTTCCGTTTATTCGGTTTCTCCTCTGAGCCAAAGCGGGGGCCCCAGGGTAGTTAACTTCACTCCCTTTCCCTGGCCACCTCAGGAGGGATTTGCCAACTCACGCTTTTATTCAGTCTTCCGTTTATTCGGTTTTTTCTCTGAGGCAAAGTGGGGGCCCCAAGGTAGTTAACTCCACTCCCTTTCCCTGGCCACCTCCATCGCTCCCTTCCCCATGCTCTCATTCCACCTTCCATGTAGCCAGGGGGTTGGCCATGCCACTATCTCCTGTCTCCAGCTCCTCTCCATGGACATCCTTAAATCGCCCCCCTAACTTAGGGCCTTCAGCTGGGACCATGGGGTGGGGTCTCTGCACATGCGCTTATCATCAGGCCCACCACCCGGACAACATTCCCCTCCCCATCCTGGTGGCTCCGGCTCCCTCTTCCCAGGTGGTGCCCCTCAGGCCAGACACGTGCAGCCAGCCTTGTAAAAAAAGAAATGACGTAAATTGTACCCATCATTGAGCTCTTAACTTTGTAGTCGTCCAACTGTGACTGCCCTCAACAAAAAAGAGTAAGAGTCCAGTAGCGCCTTAAAGACTAGCAAAAATTTGTGGTAGGGTATGAGCCTTCGTGAGTAAGAAGTTAGCAGTGGCTCACGAAAGCTCACACCCTACCACAAATTTTTGTTAGTCTTTAAGGCACTACTGGACTCTTACTTTTTTCTACTGCAAAGTGGTCGTGTTGTTTTGAACCTGCTGGGTCAGTTTGGCATTGCATAGTGAACCTTGGGATTGTGAGGTCCTCTCCACCTCCCCCACCCCCTTATGTCTTGTTTGCATCCAACCCAACAAACCATATGTGAGTATTTCCAGTATTGCCCCCTGGGAGAGGGAGGTCCGGGCAGCTGCACGGTGCAGGGCTCTTAGCAGAGACACAGAGCTTTGACAGCTACTGGCTCGGGCACCGTAGAAACAGCGGATGTGTGCTGAGTTCATGTTCCTTTCAGCAACTCTTATGCCAACCTGGTTTTAAAATCAGATTCTTAAGTATTATGTTGTAGCCTTCTAAAATGACACGTGCATTTTAAAAATATGAGTCTTCTTCGATACATCCATTGCTCTGAAGTACTGCTGAAATATAGTTAAGGTCTTTCACTTATTAAATGCAATACTTCTACATGGCGAAACTAATAAGCAATGGTCTTTGGGGATACAGGAAGAAATACAATAATCTAAAGTGCCAGTTAAATGTGTTCAACTCTTTGCAAAATATTTTTCTCCATCGTAGGCTTAGTATCTAACTGATTCTGTGCAAGAGGTCTCAGATTAAAACATAGGCTCTTGTTGCTTTCCAAATACAGCTGGTGAGAGAATCTAAGCGCTTCCTTCCAGATTCTTTTATCTGAGGTATTTTCTTTTTTTCAGACCGGAAGAATAAGAGCTGCCGGAATAGTGGGTATTGAGAGGAAATTAGAAGAAAGGAGAAAGGAGATGGATAAAAACATATCTGAGGTAAATACTTTAAGTTTTCAAGGTCAGAAATTTATGTTGTTTTCCCCTGAGCGGAACATAGAAGTCTGTAAACGCCAAATACAGTTGAGTCGCATATTTTGCATTCAAGTTTTACGAAGTCTTTAAAGTGACTTTAAGCTTCTTCTTTAAGAAGAGTGGGTGCCCCCCCCAGAGGCCCATGTCCACTGTCTGCACTTGAGTTACTTTGAATGTTTCTCTGCCACTGTGTTGCTACACTGGATGCTCAGACAGCCCCCCTCAGTTTAGAAATCAGGGTGGGGTGGGTGGGGGAGGAGTGGGTATTTTCTGTGTTCAGAATCAGTGTTCAGAATCATTGTTGAAGGATGTCTTTAACACAACTGTGGCACTGTTTATACTGGATTCTGCACAAGATTCAGATACCTTTCCTCAATGTACGGCTTTTGTTGTAGGGAAGTCCCATTTTCTCAGCCATGAGTGAGTAACGTCTTGGATCCTGAATGTAGCCTAGTCTATTTTTGGGGAGGTGGGATGCTCAAGCCCCTTTCAGTTATTACATTTTCAGCACTCCTGCCTCATATACCAGGAGAGCATGTTACACAGGATTGTCTTGACATGCACAATTGCCGTTTTATCTGGATCGGGCAATGCATGTATAGTCTGACTTCAGTGTGCACAATCAGAATCACTGATTTTTCAGGTTACGCATTAATGCATACCAAAGATGGAATATACACACGTTGCCTGATTCAGGCATAAAGGACTGTGTCCATTATTTGTATGAAATTCAGAATAGTTTGTGGTAGATGCTAGACATTGAAAAACATACTGTTTTCTCACAGTGGAGACTGATTTTTAGACAAATCGTGATGCATCTGTGACCACTGCAAACTGTTATTGCACAAGGTTTCAAAATCAGTTGTTTTGACTTATTTGGAAGAAATTTCCTGGTCTTCAATGGTCTTCAATGCAGCAGATTAAATGAATTTATTATTTATTATAGAGATTATCTTTTTTCCCAATGTTGAGAAGGGAACTCCTTGTTACAGCAGCCGTGTGATCCACCTGTCATCTTCTGGGATGTGTCAAAAAGGACAGCCCCTCCCTGCTCCACTGCAGTCAGTGGAATGGAGGGGAGAGGGAAGGAAACTTGAGCACAGTGTCACGATGTCACATGTTCACTTTTACTATATCTTATTGCGGGAAGAGGGGAGGTGGGAGTGCAAAACTGAGCTTTTTTGTGCTAGATGTGCTTCTCAGGTAACAGTTAGGCCCACCCTTATTCTCTTACAGTTTGTTTTTCAGGGGATTAAAGGAATACAATTCGGGGATGTTGGGAAAGTGTGTGTGTGGGAGAGAGGGGTAGATTAGTGAACTCCTGCATATTATGAATGTTAATGTCAGGACTGGTGCCCTGAGCTCCAAAATGGGTTTCCTGCACCTGCTGTTTGTTACTGATAAAAATCGATTCCCTCGGCCGTTTGTTTGTTGGAGGAAATTCCTGTTAGATGTGTGCACATTCTCCTTTGTACTTAGATCGGCCCCCGTCAGAGGAAGAACTACATTTACCCTGCTTGTTGTTTATCTGGTTCTCTTTTTTTCTTTTCTGTTTTTCTTTTGTTTATGTTGTTGAGGTCATGTATTAAGAGGCTAATTTCCAATTATGTTATGAATCTGGCAAATAAATAAATGAAATCATGTTGCATGTTTTAGTGCTCCGTTAAAGTGGGGGATGTTTGCTGTTTGTGAAGCTGTGGATACTTAAGTGCAAGCTTCGATAACAGAGCTGGTCCTGTTGATCCATTGCTGAACATGTTCTGTCATCTCATAATTTAGGAATGGGTAACCTATGATCTCAACACTACATGTAGGGCCTGTTTAGGCTATAAAGCAAAATAATATATTTTTGTACCATAACATTTACCAGTTTAACTGTTCATGCGTTAGTATTAAAACGCAAAACATTGTAATAGTTTCCTTTAGACAGACTGTATTTCCATATGTGTTTTTATTGTTTCAGGCTTTTGAAGACCTCAGCAAACTCATGGAAAAGGTAAAGTATCCCCTTATTTGTTCTCCTTTCTGAGCTGGAATGTGCTGGTCCCATACAGAGAAACAAGAGGGCAGCAGAAAACTGATCTGCTTTTCAGTGCTCGCAGAGTGATCTTGGTGTCTCCATCATGTGTTTAACAGGCTAAAGAAATGGTGGAATTATCCAAATCGATTGCTAATAAGATCAAAGAGAAGCAAGGCGACATCACTGAAGATGAGGTCAGTTTCTTCGTCAGTAACTTGGCTGATAAATGCTATGTATGTGGATGGGTTACATGTGCTAGGACATTCATAATACTTCTAAACTCTGAATTGGTGATATGACATAACTTATAGCACTTATCCACATGAACAAGTTCGGAGTCCAGTGGCACCTTTAAGACAAACAAAGGTTTATTCAAGGTATGAGCTTTTGTGTACAGGCACACTTCTTCTGATACACTGGAATGGAAGGTAGAGCTCAAATTTATAGCTACTTATATGTATACGTTTCTATGGCCCCGGTCACATGGGCCGGATATCGTGGGGGGGGGGAGGCGTGGCTGTTTGCCCCGGAGCGAACTACTGCGCGGCCGCCGGATCAAACGTCCAGCCAACATCCGTGGTTCGGGGGGAGGTGCCGATCATATGTCAATCCTGCGGCACGGCACAGAAGCGGCGCGGCGGGGGTTGTGTTTGTTTTTGTAACCGAAGTGTGCGCATGCGCCGTTGGGTGCTTGTGCACATCCCGTGGAGACTTGGGAAAAAAAAACACCTTTTCGCAACGGGACATGGGCGGGTGCCGGATGCCACGAGCTACCACCGGAAACGTGATCAGACTCCCGCCCTTGCCCCGCGGTTTCCGGAAACTAGTACCTCGGAGGTACTAGTTTTTTACAACGCATCTTTGGCGGGAAGCCTCGGGAGCGCTACGCTTCCCAGATGTTGCGGTTTGATCGCGCCCGGAAAATCCGCCTATCTTCCGTCTCTGTAGCGTGGCTAATGCTCCATGTGACCGCAGCCTATAAGTAGCTATACATTTGAGCTCTACCTTCCATTCCAATGTATTTGAAAAAGTGTGCATGCACACGAAAGCACATACCTTGAATAGACCTTTGTTGGTCTTAAAGGTGCCACTGGACTCAGACTTTGTTCTGCTGCTTCAGACCAACATGGCTGCCCACCTGGCATTTACCCACATGTTCATCACGGCATCTGCTGAAGTGTGCTTGCACGTGAAAGCGTATGCCTAGAATTAAACTGTGTCGATCTTAAAGGTGCCACTGGACTAAAACTTTGTTCCACATGTTCATCCTCAAACTTGAGTACATGTACTTCCGTCTTTCACGCACACATCCATGCTGGCGCTCCTCATAACTTCTTCAGCACTTTGTGATGGACTGGCCAAATTTCCCAACATTAGATAGCCTCATGACAGTCTCCAATGAACATTACTAGACTGCGTGATTTCCTTATTGTAGCCCCTTTTCCATCAAGAGCAGGAAATCATCTTGGATGTGAAGAAAGAGTAGTTTCAAGAAACCTGCTACGTTTCCTTTCCCAGCTAGAGAATCTCTAGTAGCTTCCCTTCCATGTGCTAAATCCTGGCTGTTCCGTGCCTGAGGTATTCATTCTCCCCTACCTCTTCCCAGAGGAGAAAACAGAAGCAACTTCTTCCCTATGCAGCAGTGGCTTCCTCCTCTCCTCTTTTGGACTTCTTATTTGTTGGCGATGGCAGGACACTTGGTAGCATCTGGTGACAAGAGAGTATTGTGAGATGTGTATAGCAGTAGAGGCTGGAACAGAAATTGAGTCCAGGGTTTAAGATTTCACGAGTCTTCGCTCACTTTGTCAGATGGAAAGAGACTCCCTGGATATAAGGGCTCGTGGACTTTCGTTCTATTTGTATCTGACAATCTGAGCTTTGACTCAGGAAAGCTTCTACCTTGGTTGATCTCTAAGCTGGAATGTGCTGTCCAGTCAAAGCTGACTTACTAAGACCCCTGCAGGGTTTTCAAGGTAAGAGACGTTCAGAGGTGGTTTCCTGTTGCCTGCCTCTGCGTAGCGACCCTAGACTTCTTTGGCGGTTCCACATCCAACTTATTAACCAGGGCCGAGCCTGCTTCGCTTCCGAGATCTGGTGAGGTTGGGCTAGCCTGGGCCATCCAGATCGGGGTGGCTTAAGGTACTACTGGGCTTGAATTTTGTCCTGTTACTACAGCTGAATGTGGCTATAACTACCTGAAACCATCTTCAGTAGAGGTTGGAGTAATGGTGAGATGGATACACGTGTGGCCCTGCTTACTTTCTTATACTGAAAGGGAAGGGAAAATTGTAGGATAGATCTTATCTTTTGTGCAGGGACAAGCTCGTCTGATCCTCCCTTACACCTAAGAACATAAGAGACGCCAATGTTGGATCAGGCCAAAGGCCCATCCAGTCCAACACTCTGTATCACACAGTTGCCAGAAATACCAGGTGCCATCAGGAGGTCCACCAGTGGGGCCAGGACATTAGAAGCCCTCCCACTGTTGCCCCCCCCAAGCACCAAGAAGACAGAGCATCACTTGCTCCAGAGCCCCTATCTATACCTTGTGGCTAATAGCCACTGATGGACCTCTCTGCTCCATATGCTTATCTAATTCCCTCTTGAAGCCATCCATGCTTGTAGCCGCCACCACCTCCTGTGGCAGTCAATTCCACCTCCTTCACTTCTATCCTCTACTGTTAAATACTGCTGTTGAGATGAATGCCATCTTTATGTGTCTGCACTCTTGGAGTGCAGGAGGAGAATAAGGTTCTGGGGTTGGATTTGCTCTCCACTTGGTCTGTAAAAAAGACTTCCAAGTATGACAGGATCCGTTTAAAATGCACTGAATGTTGGTTAACTGCTCTTTGATAATATTTCTGCATGTTTTCTTTTAATCTTTTATTTCTGCACAGACGATCAGATTTAAATCCTATCTCTTGAGCATGGGTATCGCTAATCCAGTGACTCGGGAAACCCATGGATCTGGCACACATTACCACATGCAACTGGCAAAGCAACTAGCTGGTATTTTACAGGCACCACTGGAGGTAATGCACTTAGAAGTCTTTTAAAAAAATGTTTTAATACACAAGAGTCTAGTTTTTTAATAGAAAAGAGCAAGAGTCCAGTAGCACCTCAACGACTAAAAAAATATGTGGCAGGGTATGAGCTTTCAGAGTCACTGCTCACTTCTTCAGATACCTAGAGTCTAAAGAAGTGAGCAGGGACTCACAAAAGCTCATACCCTGCCACATACTTTTTTAGTCTTTAAGGTGCTCTTGCTCTTTTCTAATGCTACAGACAGACTAACACAGCTATTTATCTCATTCTTTTTTAATGTTTTAATATACTTAATTAGTGAACAAAGTCTTTACTCAATTAATTTGATCCAGAGAACCCAGGGTTTTCATCATAAGCAGGGGTCATTTCCTGCAGGAGTGCACAGGAGCAGAGCTCCGGCAGTAAGGAGCCCAGGGGGTGGGCACATGCAACAAACCCCGCCCCCTGCTTCCAGCAGCCCTCAGTCGGGCCATGAGGAGCAAGAAGCAACCAGGTAAGTTGCAGAGCCCCCCCCCCTTTCAAGTACAAGCTCTCCCTCCTCTGTGAGGGCAGATCTGCACGTCCCCCCCCCATAGCTAGCAATCCAAAACAGTCCAGCAGTGGGTGTTGCCTTCTGACACACTTCCAGTGATGTCAGGGGGTGTGGCATATGCAAACAAGTTACGCTAATAAGTAATGCTAATGAGTTCCTGCACCTCTTTTTCTACGAAATGACCCTGATCATAAGTGTTGATGGTAAAAGTCTGGGCTCTATATTAAACTTGAAAACAGAATCTTCATGGGACAAGTTGTAACTTGATCTTGAGAGTGAAATGTCTCTGTGAACACTGTCATGTGTTTTGAACAATCTAATAATTTTTCTCCATGGTGTCTGACAGCAATTGGAAGAGAAAGGAAAGCGCTATCATGTTGTGCTTTTGTTGGCTAAAATGCTCTGTAGTTTTAATCGGTAGATCCATTTTATGTGAAAAATGGAAATTGCCACCAGACCAGATGGTGGGTGGGCTGTGGCTTTGTGGCCAGGGTGAGGCATTGCTGATAGGAGGTCCCAAGTTAAATTCTTGGCATTGCCAGCTAAAAGAATTTCAGGTCCTAGTTGTCTGTCTCCACCTTTCTCCATCTGAAGCCACTCTCAGTCCGAATAGACAATACTGACCTAGAGAGACCAGCATACCCATAACCTAGATACGTATTATGAAGAAAGACAGTGCACGTTTTAAGATGCATTACATGATAGTAACTGGTCTTATATCAACAGGAGCGGGGAGGAATAATGTCGCTCACAGAAGTATATTGTTTGGTGAATCGTGCTCGAGGCTTAGAGGTGAGAAATTTGTGGGGTGCCCTGACAAAGCTGGCTTTGGAAGATTCCCGTACTTCTATAGATGTTCTTCCTGTGAAGAAAACCAGATGTTTTGTCTGCTGTCTGCCCTTTTTTCTTTCTCTTTTTATCAAAGTCCATCGCAAACTAGATGATCCTTCTGGAGTAAAATTCATGTAGTAGTGTGCTGTGAATGTAAGACAGGAGGCTATGAAAATGGAGGTATGAATATCTCCCAGTATTGAACCAGACACTGAAAAGGAGAACGGAAAGTAGAGTGAATCTTCTAGTTCAGGGGGGAGAGCTGATGAAAAGAAGTGGAATGGGAGTCAAAGTGAACGAAGAACTGGTGTGAAAATGTGGCTGGATTTCTAAAATGAAGGATAATGACAGAAGTGTCTGCTGATAAGGTCATATAATATAAAAATGCCTGAAATTTTTAATACAAATCTCACCTTTCTTCCTTTAAATTCCAAAGTGGCATACACAAAGTTCCCGTGTCATTTCCCATCCAGGCCTTTTCCTAACCCAAAGCTGGTTAGTTCAGTCAAGATTGTGGATTGCCCCACCTTGGATCCCATGGGTGCATAAGAAAGGAAGAATATTACTATTTCATACAAATTTTGGTCTGGTCCAAGGTTAGGACAGAACATATCACATGTCTGCCTCTACATTATACAAACCAACTCATAGTGAAATGATTTTGAAAGCCATTCTATATTCATAGTTAATGCCTGTTGATGGAGAGCCAAGATTGCTGTTACTCTGCAGCAAATAAGTCACTAAGTGCCAAAAGGACAAACATTCTGGATTGTGCAGATGTTTACACTGCACTGCCAAAATCTGGCTGCAGAACATCCAAATGCTCTGGAGGGAACAGTTGATTCCAGTAATCTGAGTACTTAAAATGGAGGCATTCAAGACTAGCGTGTATTGCAAAATAGGGCTTAAAATAAATATAGCACATGCTATTTTCTGCAGTAAAATCCTTCTTTTCATAACCAAATAGTCCTGTGTTTTTCTCTGATACTAGATGCTATTGATGAAACGGATTCTGTGCGTAGGAAGCTATTCGTCCAGTGTTAGCACATTCTGGAGTGCCAGTGAAACATTCCAAAGATACCAGTTCAGTGTGCATGTAAACAGTTTGGGAATATGTCCTTATTCCTATGTGGCTGCCATGTCCTCTTGATAATGTGTGCTTGTAATTCGACTGAGGACTCATTCTTGCGCAGTTGCAAATACAATGCATGGTGAGTTGTATTCATGCATATTATCTCCTTAAGATACACACGTTTGTGTGTGTGTGTGTTTTCCAGGAGGAATGAGACTAGTAATATATATAGGCACAATTCCTATTTAATGGTACTTATATCATTATACTCTGGTGTTCACTGCCAAGAGCAAAGTCTTGTTGGAACCAAGCCTGAAAATAAGTAAGATGTTTTTGCATGTGACTGAGTGTGTCTGTGTTTGTTTTTATAATTAGTTGCTTTCACCTGAAGATCTAGTAAATGCGTGTAAGATGTTAGAAGCACTGAAATTGCCTATAAGGTGAGATTCCTTCAAAATGTATTTCTGACACTGTATCTGAATAGTATGATGGGGGTTTGATCTGTCCTACGAGGCCTTTTGACACAGAAATTAAGTATGTCGTGCATTTCCTATTACCATATCTTATTGGTAGAAAAATGTCATTAGCTGTATATCTCGTGTCAGTTAAAAGGAATGGAGTCAGTAAAAAAAAAAAGTTGATACCTTTGATACAGACTCATGAGTTGGATTTTGATCTGTCTTTATGCAGATATTTTTCTCTTTCAAGTAAAATTATACTGGTTATCTAGGATCAGAGACCATGAATTCTGTGATCCCCCCCCCCCCAACATTAAAAAATAGCCTGGCTGGTTCAGATAATAGCTTCAAACCTCTTTGAAAGGTAGATATGTTTACAGAGATAAACACATTGCAATCTAATCTCTGTGAGGGAAGGGGAAGTAGTCAGTGCAGTTAAGGTGAAACCACACACAGCAGTGGGCTGTGGATTAGGGAGAGGTTTTGGGATGTAGCAGAAGCTCAGGGGCCAGAAGCGAGGTGGGTGAAGGATGTGGACGAGACAGTGGCTTGAGAAAGAGTAACCTGAGTAGATGGAGAATGACCTTGTGTAGGAGGCAGGGAACTGAGGCAGGAAAGAGCTAATTAGAGGGGAGATTCTTGTGGAAGGGGAAACAAATTTCACAGTGCATAGGGTCAGTAGAAGCTATGTGTGGCACGGAGAGAGAGAAAAGCTCCGGAATGAGGCAGTATGGCTAAATGGACAAATTAGGGAGTGGTTCAAAAAATAGGAAATGGAGAGGACAATGGCTAGTGGAGATACAAGGCAAAGAGGTCCTATGGATGGAGGCTATGCCCTATTGGTGGGATCAAAGCAAGCAGAAGAGGGAGAGGCTGCATATTGTGGGTATAGGTTGACAGGTCTAGTTTACAGCCTGGCGAAGGCATCCTGGCCGTCAAGGCTTCTGTTGTCTCCGCTGCTTTGTGGCGGAGCGGCGAGGGCCAAAAAAGCTGTATGTGGGGCTGGATTTCACACTGGATCGATCAGAGCAGGGGTCTTCCGCCTTTCCAGACCCTGGACCCACTTTAACTCCAGGTAGCAGCCAGGGGAGCAGGTAAGCTGGGAAGCCTGTGGCCGGAATTCCTATGATGTCACAATCCTGTGATAGGAAGAAGAGGAGCCAATGTGTCTGAACACGTTTGAGCTAAAAAGAAATCCTCTCCGCTGCCGAGTGATCTTGGCTCGCTGTCCTGATGCTCCTCTCGGTGTGTTTGCAAAGGGCGTGGGGGCCCTCGCTCTGCATGCGCGCACACTCTTGGCAGGTCCTTCCAAAAAGTGGCAAAAAACCCCCCACAACCTGGCAGTTCTGTAGAAGAAGAAGAAGAGGTTGGATTTATACCCCGACCTTCACTACCCAAAGGTGTCTCAGAGGGGCTTACAAACTCCTTTCCCTTCCCCTCCCCACAACAGACACCCTGTGAGGTAGGTGGGGCTGAGAGAGCTCTTGACAAAAACTGCTCTTTTTCGAGAACAGCTCTTATCAGAACTAGGCTTGCCCAAGGTCATCCAGCCAAAGGCAAGTGGAGGAGTGGGGAATCAAACCCAGTTCTCACAGATAAGAGTCCGCGCACTTAACCACTACACCAAACTGGCTCTCATGACCCAGCAGATGGGACTCTGTGCTCCACCTGAATGTCCCGACGCTTGTAGAGGATTACTAAATTAACATTTACCCAGACGCCTCTCTGCTTGCAAACGGCGAGTTCATCTTTTGTCTTTTTTTCTTTGTTCAATTTAGGCTACGTATATTTGACAGCGGCGTCATGGTGATTGAGCTCCAGTCCCACAGTGAAGAAGAGATGGTGGCTTCTGCTTTGGAAATGGTACGTGGACTTTATTTTCTTCAGCAGTATGTCGAAGGAAACTTTAATGATTGTTGTCGCCAGACCTCAAGTATTTAAGTGTGCGTGTGGGGGGGAGTGTTTTCTTTAAAGAGCAGAAATCCCCTACCTGCTGTTGCTTATTGTATGTTCACAGAGGCTCACATGCTTAACCCGGCCAAGGGTCGAGCTGTCTTAACGCCAGCTGTGCACACCCAGCTAAAATCAAGATCAATCTCCTCTGTTGATATTCTCATCGCAGAGTCTTATGGAAGCAGGTCCGTGACTCTGGCCCATTCTTCATCTAGCATTCGTTCCGTTTTTTTACCAAACCCACACTGGAGCAGAAAAAGATGCGGCTCAAAACCACATTCAAATACCCTGGGCCAACGCCGTACTGACTGCAGAGTCACCCCTGAATGGCCATGAAACGGCCATAAATCTATGCAGACGGTACCATCAGACCACGAGATCAAAGGAAGTGAAACCGGCATGCAGTCTGGACACTGCCATAAAATCCTACAATCAAAGAAAGTGAAAGTGGCATGCAACGCAGAGAGGAGTTTCTGTTCCGACGTGGGTTTGGTACAACAGTAGAGCGAATGCTAGATACAGAATGGGCCTCTGTAACAATAAGTACTTCTTGTAGTGCTTCCACCCCTTGCTCCCATCTACGCAGATCTTTTTTTGGGGGGGGGGGGAATTGGAAGCTCCTGAAATACAGCTTTCAAAAACATTTTCAGTGGTAATGCTTTTTGAAGTTAACAAGGTGCTTAATACGTATTCATCTTAACTATATGCCAGTTAAGTGTTGTTGTTGTTTTTTAAAAAAAGCTGGTGTGTAGTTTCTTAAATCCTCACTCAATACTTCCAAAAGAGGGAAGCCTGAAACTTGATCCATAGGTTTAGGGGCACACGCCTGACTTCAGAGAGCTTCCTGCTAACAGGAGGAGGAGGAGGGGCTAAACTGGGTGGAAAGATGTAAGAGGGAACAGGGACTGCTACTTCCTGTGCTGTGAAGGTGTCTGATCCCATTTTGTATCCTTTCCTTTCTCAAAGGAGCTCAGCTATGTAGGATTATACCATTTTTCCCCTCACTAAAACTATGTGAAGATGTTATTTTATTATTTTATTTGCTTCATTTATACCCTACTTTTCTCCCCAGTGGGCACCCAAAGTGGCTTGCGACATTCTCCTCTCCTCCATTTTATCCTCACAAAAATCCTGTGAAGGAAGTTAGGCTGAGAGAGAGTGACTGGCCCGATGGGGGCAAGGATTACCCTGCTTTTGGGGAGCTCAGTCTGCCCCCAGCCAGTTGGCTGGTGGGAGGAGCCCTGCCTCCGAAGAGCCCCACCACGCCCGATGTGCCCCGTGCGATGACATCACCACACCAGACACGTTGTGCATGGGGGGGGGGTGCTCTTGCATTTGGGTAAAAACTCTGTGGTAACCATAGAGGTTTTTTTTTACCCAAATGTTAGAGTGCCCCCTGAACAATGTACCCGGTGGGATGATGTCACTTCCGGGTCATGTCATCGCGGCTCATGCGCTTCACGTGCCCGCTGGAAGACCCCAGCAGCTTGCTGGAGCCCCCCACTGGGACACTGGTAAGACCTGGTGACCCTACCAAGGTCACCCAGCCAGCTTCCATGGCAGAGTGGGGATTCAAACATGGGTCTCCCAGGCAATGCTCCCTCTAAGCTGTGGAGTCTTGTGAGCAAAAATTCCACTGTGTGAGCTACTGGCGTTAAAGCTGTGAGTGAGCAATTTGGCTACTGTATAAATTAGTTTGCTCCGGAGCCCTCCTTCCTGAGCTAAGTCAAAAATCTGTGAGCTGGAGGCTAAGAATCTGTGAGCTAGCACACACTCACTCAGCTTGGAGGGAACACTGCTCCCAGGTCTTGTCTGACTCTCTGAACAACCACACCATGCTGACTCTAAATAGGTTAAGCCAAGAGATACAGCGGCTCGCTCAAGACTACCAGGCAATATTTATTACTGAGCACAAGTTTAAATACAGCTTTGCCCCAGCTGAAATTTATTCCTTCTGCTTCATAGCAGAAGCGATGATTGTGTTCCACAGGTATAGGGTATCACTTTGTGTCTTTGTGACCATGTTCACACCACCCAAGGAACCCTGACTCACAGCCATAGGTACACAATTCACAGCTACTTTAAAAAATGAAGAGACCAGTATGGCTGTTACGTGCTACAGATTCAGGAGGCATCTGCCACTAATTTCTGCAGTGCGTGATACGGCCGGAAGACTAACCATATGGCGTAGCCTGTGCACAGGACAGGGGTGATGGGATAGCAAGACCAAGTTCCCGTGAGCTGTGAAAATACTGCCTTTGTCCAGCTGTTTGACATTGATAATCTTTGGCTAACTATCTGGCTCTGTTGTCGTACACATATCAGAGAACTGAACTTCATTTTGTTTTGTCATTCATGTTCTTCAAACTTATCCTGTTAAGAATGGCTTCCATCTTGATTATAAGCTTACAGGGACTCTTACACATATGCATTAAATGCTCAATCTGGAGGCACTCTGGAGTCTAAAACACTGGGGAAATAAATGGGCTGAAGCTTTGGGGGAGGAACATGTAAATCAGTATAAAGTGCTGTACACATTTACTGCATTTTGTAATGGTCTTCTAGGTCTCTGAGAAGGGCTCCCTCACAGCAGAAGAGTTTGCAAAGCTTGTGGGAATGTCTGTACTTCTAGCCAAAGAGAGGTAAGGCATAAAACATCTTTGTTTTTCTAAGTAACTCAGGCATTGATAATAAAGGCAATAAAAGTACTTTTTTTCTTGTTCTAGGCTTCTTCTAGCAGAAAAGATGGGCCAACTTTGCAGAGACGATTCTGTGGAAGGCTTACGATTCTATCCAAATTTATTTCTTACACAAAGTTAACTATCCCCCCCCCCCCCCCCGTTTAATAATTATCTTGGACATTCTGAACAAAAGAATGTAGAGTGATGTACCTTTTTTCCCAAAGAGGGAAGAAGACTTTCAAGACTGACCACAGTCATGACTTGTAGTCTGCCTGTGTCTTTGGAGGAAATTCACACAGAGGAGTTTCTGGACGTGCTACCTGAGCCAGTTTTGTTTTTACTTATGGAGGAAGGAAATGATGTGATTCAGGAAAGGAGGAGGATTGTCTGTCACCAAGGTCTGCTGCAGGACCCGGCAGAGTACAATGCACGCTACTTCCTTACTGTGTTTTTCTCTCTGTTGTTACTGTGCATTTTGTATCTGCAGCTCCAAAACAGCGATGCATGGCAGCCACAGATCACTTGTATCAATGTAATACAAAATTGCAGTGTGGTTGCTCTTTCTAGAATTATTAATTCCCTTGGGAAATACAGACTTTGAAGGAGCAAAACCTCACTGTGCGCGTCTGCCTGCAAATGTCCCGCAGAAGGATTAAATCCGTGTTTATGAAAAATGTGGAGATCATGTGTCGCTTTGTACTTAATGTAAAGGATCTTTGTAAATTCATGCGGATTTCCTTCCTTCCTTCCATTCTTTGATTCTCAGCTCCATGATGTGTTGCTATTTTTGTCCATTCTTTTTGTCCATTCTTTTGCATAGCTGTGAAGGACGGCATTTCGCCATCTCCATTTTAAAACAGTACAATGGATTGTTTTCCCTCTTATTAAAATAATCATTTATTTGAGGACCCACTATTGTGAGGGAAAGACTTCTTTGTTTATGTGTGTGTGTGTACCTTATCGCTATGTTGGTTTCTGTATCTAAACATTAAACAAATGCTAATCTTTGCCCGAGAACTCTTAAATTTTCTTGTGATCTAGTTTTATATAATGTGCCACCTTGGTGGCCCTGATTGGGTGGAAAGGTGGCATACCAATTTTGTAAATAAAATAAGACTGCACCACCATAGATCAGCTATTCCAGAATTGTGTATCGGCTGCATGTTTTCTGTTGCCACATACTGTTTCTAAAAGAAATAAGTCTTTTAAAATATGGCTTCAACAATTAGTTGATTGGCTAGATTAATATATGAAAAACTTGTTGATCAATTATAAAGCAATATCCCCCAGTTAACAGGTGAACACACTTTTTTAAATGCTCATTATTGTACTATTTATTTTTATAAATATTGTCAAGCTGTTGTTCAGCTCAAAGTGAAAGCTGTTATTCATGAAAAAGTTTTGTATTACTTAACATTACTACTGTTTAGTAAGAGTCCCATGGAATGGCTATGAAATGGAGATCATATGTTTGAACTGAGGAACTCCCTTCACCCACTTCAGTTGGAGTGCCTAGCTGTTAAAGTGCTTTATTTTTAAAAA